ATAATAGTTTAGTTGAATTGTTTTGTTCGCTTTTTTAAAATAACTTTTTGTTTCCCTTTTATTAATTTCCACACTGCTTAGATTTAGATTTCCAAATCTACGTTACTTTATGATAGAGTTTCAGTCATTAAGCTTACATTTTAAGAATATCAAATTCAATTTGAAAGTTATGGAAACGCTCACTGAACAGTTACTTCACCACTGACATTCCCATAAACAATTACACCAGAAACAATAGCAAATGCTTCAAAGTGCCTCAGTGCAACTCAGTGCAGTATCAACAATCTTTCTTCCCACGCACAATAATAGCATAAAACCACCTGAACGATGCCACTGTGAACTCGACATCGGTCGAAAGCTTCAAGGCTGCCCTGGCATCAGCTAGGAGCTGTTAGAATAGCAACATCATATCCCCAACCTTTGCAAAGATGCTAGTACATGGATGCAGCAACGAAACATTACCAGAACCAGAGACTATTTAAATGATTATAGTAAATGAAGTTTCCCGCTTTGAAGAATACAAAAAGAAAATAATAATAATCGGGAATTTCCATTCCATTCAATAGCCGTTAAAATATTTTTATATGGCTAGTTAAAATTTCGAAATTAAAAAAAAATCATATACCTAATAAAAAAGTAATATGTTGATATATTAATAATTTTGGTTCTTTTATAAGTAGACATCTTTAATTAATTGTTTTTCAGCTTTTACGTTAGAATGTTTCAAGTAGCCTATTTCTTGTACTTGCAACTGTTTTTATATCCACTGTAAAAAGGTAATAAGTGGATAGACTAGTTTCATTAATAAGGCAAAGCTGCTGTTTTTTTGTGTATGTTTTTTGTTGTTTTTTTTGCTAGACCAAACAAGGGATCAATTTTCTTTTTTCTTTCTTATAAATGAGCTATCTTAATACATGGTTGCCCTGGAGTTGGCTTTTAAGTTATTTAATGTCAATCCTGATACAAAAAACAATTTATTTGAAGCATTTTCTTATTTAAAATAAAAGAAACACAAGCTATTTAACATACTTTTGGGAAAATGTCCCAAATATTAGTAATAAAAATACTATATCTCAGAAATATTTTATCGATATTATTTAGGCAATTTTAAAGCGTTACTTGAATATTTATTTCAAGGATTTTGAAAGTTCCTACCTTAAAATAAAACTGTGCCATGTGGTGTTTCCTTTTTTAAGGCCATTGCGAACTTGAGTCATTTTAAGAAAAAAGAAGCAAAATATTAAAATCTATGACCTTTTTCAAACGTTTTTAATGATACTTTATTTTGATGTTGCCCTTACTTTTTATATTGTAATGAGGACAGGATGTCTTAAGAAGGTGTAGCTTCAGGAACTTATTACTATAAAATTATCTTATAAATTGTCTAATCAACTAATATTATGTGTTCATATCAGTATAACATCTTTAGTGTGTCAATAGATTAGTTAGACAAGAACATTTCGTGTCAATATATATAACAATATATTTAAGCTTTAATAATAATTTGACATAATACACAAATTGTATTTTAAACTTTAAAATTCTATTTTTATAATAGTGAATAACAGTTTTTTTTGGTAAAATTACAAACGTTTTTGTGTTCAGAGTTTTAAGTTTAGTCAATAAGCGTCTCACTAAAATCACTTGAGAAATTAACTGATAAATTACCCGACAAATCTAAACCCCAAAAAGATGTCAAAATGTTCAGAAATAGTCTGCGCACGCTGATATCAGCCTAAGGTATAATTTGGTCTGGTGGATAAAATGCGGCTTTAGACAGTTTAACTCACTGGGTTAATCTGGACAGCAAAATAACGAATTAGCAGCCTTGTTCCTGTTGGTCTAAATTTTTGTCCCTGCTACAATCCTGTAGAAATTAACGTTTCTTGTCAATCCTAGATAGTCTGAACAATTTTGTGTATCGCCAATAATTTAGAATCTAATTAAATTTTAATGTAAATAAACTAAGATTAAATGTGTAAAGACTTTTGCTCTTAATACTTTTATTAGGAGAAATGCATTCATATATGGACAAGTTCATGTCAAAATTTTGTAATTCTTTGCATATGATGTCTGAGCCAAATGTACCGGATGCAACAAATCTTTCGAATAACATACACAAATGAAGTTACCTGATAATCAGTCAATGCACTTGACATATCGCCACTTAAAGTGAACTCACAAATTTGAGCCTGAAAACATCTTTTCTTATGGTAACTAACATTAATGGTCTCCCTCCTTACCATTATTAGGTATTCGTCTAAGTACAGTTTCAACTCATAAAATTATGGAACGCTTTCCAATAATAGCTGCGAAACAAAAAACTAGGACAATAACGTATGTGTTAATATGCTAATTACCATAATTACAATTACTTACAATGGCGCTCAGACACTCGCACACTTCTATTAATGTGTGTGTCTACTTTCTTTTTTACTGATTATGTAAAAACAGGTGGTTCAGCCCACGAATATGTATATGTATTATTAGAATTTAATGAACACATGATATAGCACAATACAAGCAATAGAAACAACTACGTATACTGTATAATACTAATTACTAAATGTACATTACTAATGCGTGGTTGGTACGGGAGGGTATCGTGTACTCAGGTTGGTATGACGTTCCCGTGGTCCCCAAATCACACACACACTGCAAGTAGTAGTAGTAGCATGGTTTGCCCTCTCGTCCTACCTGCCCCGTACTGGGACTTAGTAGGTCTAACGGCTTGGGACCTACGATCTGTGTTTCTTGCATGAGTGCAGAGTTATCTCCCTTTAGATCGGTCATCTCAATTCCGTGTAGTATTATCGTGAACTATAAACAAATTACTACAGTGTAATGAAATACAATGACTACATTGTACTAGACTGCTCTACAATAGACTACACTGTACTAGATTGCACTTAACTCAGCACCAAAAAAATAAATAGTTAGCCAGTGCCAGGCTCTCCCCACAAATTACAGATAAAACAGAGCGATAACTGTTGGGGCTTGCTTATATAGTATTGCATAGGGGATTCTTCTCCGGATGAGCCTTTTGTTTCAGTTGGGTCAAAGTTACCAAGTTTCTTCCATTGTTGTTGCCAGTCCTAATCATGTCACGCGGGGTAGAGATGGAGAGATGGTGAGTCAGAGGGTCTTAATAAGTGAAGACAAGCTGATCTCAACACAAAGCTAACGGCATAAATTAAGAAATCAACAATTGAAATAAAAAATAAATTTTATGAGGTAAATGCGTATGCAATAAAATTAGAAACTTTGTTTTATAATTCTGAAAATAGCAGCCACGTTTTAATGAGTACCCAAACAATTTTGTTAAAATATTTTTTTTTCAGTAGAAAAGTAATCTAACACCAAATAAAAGAAAACATTGTTTATTTTGTGTCGGATGGATTAACAGTGGGATCTTGTAGAAAATATTTCATTTCCTATGACTGAAGTTGATCAATTAGTATTATATTATTTTTAAATTTTATTTTTAATAGACATATCTTAAGCGCAACAGGCTATACAATTTAAAACTAAAAAAATACAATTTTTTAATCATAATGTATTAATGTGTATAAGCATGTTTAATGTTATTATCACATTAATAATGTCGTCTAATTTTATTGGTTCATCTTGTGTTGGAAATAACTACTTATCTTATTTATGTCAAGCAAACTGAAAGTGTGTCTCAAAAGATGTATCTAGTTGTGAGTTTACAGTTCCTTACATATGGATAACAATTAGTAATAACGTACTACAGTGCGTTAGATAGTACGATCAATCATACGTGAAGTATTAATAAAAAGAGCGTATGCTGTTATATGTTAATTTCATTTTTCAAGTATATCTGCTGTTGACAAAATGGATATCCATGCACTGCTCAGTTTTATGTGCTTATTAATCATCCTTATAAATAATTCTGGTAATTTGAGATTAGGCCTAATATTAAAACATTTTATAAGGATTTTTGGACTTCATTATTTTCTGAAATTTAAAAAGAAAAAAATAATAACATTTTTTAACCAGTCTAAATGTCTCTGTTTTGTCTTATAATTATGGTAAGGACTCTATAATGAAAAAAAAAGTTTATGCATTATGTGTAATTGAAACTAAATACTAATACTTTCAAAATAGGATACACATTTAGAGTTAAAATAAAACAAGCACATGAAATAATAACTTTTTTAATGCAAATTTGCATGTCCTGTTTTCTTCATTCTATGACTGGTTTTATTTGACTCGACTATACGTCTATTCTACTAATCGTATGGCATATGTTTCCCTTCCAGAAACAATGACTTTAATGCCAAGTTGCCCACCAGCAGAAGAAGGCACAAATCATACGTTGGTGTTTCAAGGGATTTTCAATGAGGACTATTTAAAAAATGTTTTTGTCATTTATAGAGATACAAGAGCAATAGCGAAATGTTTCCTACCAAGAAGCTGTACAAATTATTTTATAAGCAGTTTTGAGGCCGATATGACAGTGAATAAAACTAGCCATTTTAAAGTTACCGTGAATATTTACAATGTCTCTAGATATCCCTCAAGTACATTAAGTAATAACTGGTATATTACTGACAATAATTCAATAACAACGATTTGCACAGTCTACATTTATTGTACGTTATTATGGTTTTACGCTATATAAGTTTACATAGTGTTTTAAATTAGTAAATATTTACTTATATTATGCATTTTAAAAAAAATGCCAAAGAAAACTCGGTAAATTAATTATTTCGAAGAAACTTATTATTATTATATTTACTCATTTTACAGCAATAAACAAAATCATTGAGTGTGTAAAAATGCTGATGAACGACGACCTTCATGTAAATTGTAGGATGTCAAAATTATTTCCTGAAGGAAAATGTCAAGCATACATGAAAATACATGAGGTTTGTTAGCATATGTTTTTAAAGTGTATTTCATATGCGATATATTGCGTTTGTGTTATACATAAATATATAAACATTTTGAAAAAATGATATTATTTCACAGATATTCGACAACATGACTATTATCGACGTTAACTCCACAAACATTAAAATATCCAGTGACCCGACTTATTTTATATTAAATTGTACATTTGTGATACCAAAGATTAATACCGACTCTGAAAACATTGAAGTGTGGGTCACAATGTATCCTAATATCACTGGTCAAGACGATGACACTAAGGCTGGCGTCACAAAGATGATAGACATGGACTCAGGTGGGTGAACTAAGTTTTCTGTAATTAGATACAGATGCAAAATCATTTTTCATTACATTACAGCAAGTGACATAGGTACACTCCAAAAGAATCACTAAGTAGTTTACACACTCACAATTATATAACGTCTTTTATAGACAAAATCTACTCTCTCTCTCTCTCTCTCTCTCTCTCTCTCTCTCTCTCTCCCTCCCTCTCTCTCTCTCTCTCTCTCTCTCTCTTCTCCCTCTCTTTCTCNTAGGTACACTCCAAAAGAATCACTAAGTAGTTTACACACTCACACTTATATATCGTCTTTTATAGACAAAATCTCCTCTCTCTCTCTCTCTCTCTCTCTCTCTCTCTCTCTCTCTCCCTCCCTCTCTCTCTCTCTCTCTCTCTCTCTCTCTTCTCCAACTCTGTCTCTTAGATATATAACAGCTTATCTGCAGCAAAATTCAATTTCAGATCTTCTAAAACTTCGTAAACTAAATATATTCTTTAGAAAAAATATAACCCAAAATAAAATAAACAACACTTTCCCGCCTTAGGGAACGGTGGGTATGAGTTGACAGAACATATTAACTCGGCCACGTCAATATCAAGACCATACTAAGGGAAGAAATGTGGCAGTGGCTAGAAATATCTCTACACATATTATGTTATACTAGATCATTCACTGGAGACACGTGGTGGTGGCTTTAAATAGCTTAATGTTGAAGTGAAAAATAGATAAAGACATATCAATGTGATGTAAGTAGTTATAACAGTGCGGAGTTTTATGTGCGCAATTTTCATGTGTACTTGTGTTGTGAGCTCATTTGTCATCAAAACAAAGAAATAATATTTACTTATAATATCACTTTAATTAGTGGCATAGCTAAAGCTGGTGTAATCCGGTGCGGTAAACTCATTTTGTCACATCCGCCCCCTCCCCCCTTTTTTTACACCGACTTCGAAGATAGATTTATTATTATTAAATTAAGTCCAAACTATAAAAATGACAAGAACAAAAACAAAGTAATTAAAGGTCAGGACGTAAATGTATTAAAGAATAGTATTTGAAATGTATAGGGGCCAAACTGATCGATACATTGCTCGTGGGCCCTCCAAATGTAGATAAAGAAAAATTAACAGCGAAACGTTATAGTATGTTTTACATTTATTACGCACTTCTATCCGTACGGAGAATTAATCTCCAATTTACATATATGGCTCGTTCCAAAACTGTGTATAACAAAAGACGATACCAAATGATAAAAACAATCACAGACAAATACGATGCTTGGAACATAGCTAATTACAATTACTAAGTTTTATTAAGTTAATAATAAAATACAAAAGTCACAAAGGAATATAATTGTAAACTATTAACTTACAGTACCGTATATTGTGTGGCTGGTACAAGTGCAATGTTGATATAAAACACATTGTGCAAAAGGAACAAGTAATGAAAGAAATGACTACTGTAAACAAAGCACTCACTGCATAACTTTCTCATGCAATATGCACCTCTCGTATTGCAGTCTGATGTGTCAACCACTCGCCGTTAGACAATTTTTGAAAATTCATACCCATAGTATTAATGGCTCAAACGTTCAACAATTTTCTATCGAATTCGAGACAAGAAAAACAGACGATAGATTTGTTTGTCGTAAATAAGATCAAAGGGATAAAGACACGACCAATACTAGGGGTCAGCTTAAGATCGTTAACCAGAAAATGATTAAATGGGAGTAAAACAGAACGCCTATGTATAATATCATTACATTTTCTTTATTAAAAAATTTCCTTTCTTGGCCTTCAAAGCTTCAAACCTGTCAATCACTTGATCAAATTTAATATCCATTAGCGTTTCACATTCAATTTATAGTAGTGCCAGTTCAGAAAGCCTTGACTGTTCAATGGTGGCTCGTAATTAGGTCTTGATAAGCCCTAAATTTGAAAAACTCTTGTCACCTGAAGCCTTAGACACAGAGACAGTAGCAAACAATTGAATGAAAATGAATATTGGAAGATATTCTAGGAATTGCTATTCAATTAAAATTTGCAAAACATCTAATACTGACCTATCCTTGAATTTGTGAAATTCAATATAGCTACATTTTAAATATATATATATATATATTTAAATTTTACTGATTCGATACATTTACTTAAAATCGCCCGACTGTATCGTATTTAATTTGTTTTCGGCGAAAAGCTTTGTTTCTCGGAATTTAGATAAATATAAATGCAATTTACCGAATACTTCATTCTGCGTTGAATAATGTTCAAAAAGTAGTTTCTGACGCATCAACCTTGAACTTTTATTAAAGTACGCATGTGGATTTGTTGCACTTGTGGAAAACATCCATGTAATCGGTTATTCTTTTATGAAATTCCCATAGACCGAACAGTGTTTGCTCTGTAAATAAGCAACTCTTCCATTTGGTGTAACTCTCTGTGATGGTGTCATCTGGACCGTCAGCTCCATCCCCCTGCACCCCCCCCCCTAACTACGCCAACGGTTTTGATTAATTCGTCTTAGATATGATTTAAAACGTAAATTTTATACTTGTTTGTTTACATTATACTAAAAATACGCAGTTAATTATATATAAAGTTTTATTTATCCAAACATAATTCAGACGGGTTCACGCATACCTATTTTTTAAACAAGTGACGAATTGCTGGTATTATCTGCCTTCCCTCTTCAGTTTTGCTTTTGCTAAAATTGTTTGAAATTAACCGTATCGTCTATTATATTTTAACAGTATATAAGGTATTAATGTTATCAGTGTCTTCGGTTCTTCCAACTCATACAACATTTAGGCTGTGTTACAAGTTTGTGGCCCTTATGTTTACGTACCCCACTAACACGACCGTGTCAGATTAGCACAGCCAAGAAGCACGACGTCTGTATCCGAACAAAGGCACAACCAACCTTGAGTTAAGCTGACATTGACCTACTTTATGGTCAAGCCTCTACAAATGAGTAGGCCTATAAGACTGGACGCATGCTGCTGCCTCGAGGGGCAGACCAAAGACGGGACATATCGAGATGTGGTTAGCCGTTCGTTGCATTTGCTAAGTACAAGATTGGGGCCATTCAATAGTTAGCAGAAATATTATTTCCAGAAACTTAGACTAGTGATAGTATTGTGTATATTTTTATTATTGTGAGGATTTTAGATATTGTAAGTGTTAGACTGGCATTTCATTATATGTAGATTTCATGTATCTTTTTTCACATTATAGTCCATGTAATAAAGTACATTTATATAGTGCACCGATTGTCTTTATTTTAGCCAAAAGTGTGTCTAAAATCCACTTGTGTTAGCCCCCTTTTCTAAACCCCTAAACCACGAGCTTGTTCACATTAATTAAACACAATAGGGTGCGTACCAGCTGAATAATTAATACCAGTAATATCATTCAATTGGTAAACAATTATAATTATTTATGAAAGCTTTAAATTCTGCAACACTGTGGTTATCCATTACGGTTGTAGGTTTCAGATGCCATATGTTGCTATTTAAAATAATAGTGCCGGTTCCTTAAATTCAAACGCTTAAAACGTTAACTTACAATATAATTTTCTTTACATTACATTTAGTATAAACTATACTTAATACAATTTATGTTGTAAATAAATTAATACTTAGGCTTCTGTATTTATATATTACAGAGCATGTAATTTTGAAACGGAGACTTAGAGACTGCCCTAAGATCATTGAAGAAAATGCCGATGTCACTTTTTACTGTGAGGGATCTGAAACTCCACGAGGCAATTTTTCTGTTAGCTGGTTTGATAACATATATAGTGAGGCGGATGCATTCGGCACTGGACCAAGTGGTTTTAAGTTTATGAATGATAGGAAATTTGGAAGAGGTAAGAATACAAACAATTAGGTTTAAATAAAAACAAAAAATCTATTTTGCTAGCTAATATATAAGATTTTTAGTTAGCAAATGGGCAAGAGGAATTGTACGTACACACATACTATAAACGCCTAAACATGTATTACTGTCTATAAGATTTTTATTTTGATCAACTCAAAGTTTCTGCCTTCTAAAGGTTTTAGGCTTAACAGTTTATTCTCTTTATTTTCTTTTCTATTTTTAAGACTAAAAAAAATGCCTTTGTCGAGTATTTCTTTTGTCTTCCTTTTATTATTTTTCTTTTAAATTTGCAATTGAACTTTGATAGCAATGTCTCTTTAAAACTGTGAGTAACACAGACGAATCATTTTTGATCTAGTTCTGATGATTAATTCACCTAAATTAAACTGACTATCGTCCTTGTGTGACACTTAAAGTGTTTAACACTTGCCTTTCTCATTTAAAAACATAATTTAAAAAAAAGACTAAGTGTATTTAAAAAATTATGTTGAATGGTCTTTACTTTGAGTTTTTTAAATATTTTTTTTAAAAATCTCCATACTATTTCAGCCATACTGAACAGCATATAAAAGAAAGTAAAAAAAAAAAAGGAATTGCTAATGACATTTAATTAGACTTTTAAAATAATTCCGCTTTTAAAATAATAAAAACAAGTCTTGCAAATATTTAATGATATTATTTTTTTTTCCTTTCGTTTGCCACATTAATTTCTTGTTTTTTTTCTCCTTTTTAATTTCATTGTTTTATGTTTCGAAAAAAATAATCTCTCAAATAAACATGTAGGTTTTTCTTCTGATTGTATTTTTTTTTTCAAAATAAAACTAAAATATCTTACATGAAAATACTACATTTTTATTTTAATAACCTTATCTTATAACAGTCACAGTAGAATTTGAACATTTGGGCAATTGGATAAAAAAAAAATTGAAATATATTCTTTCACTTATAATGAAATGAAAATATTTATGATCAGGCTGTTATTTTAAATTGTTTATTTAAACATCCTAACAATTTAGATCATTTTTTTTATTCCATATCTTTGGTTTGAATTTACAGCATTCCACTGTAGAGCAAGTAACTCAGTTTGGATTAAACATGTTATAAATTCTAAACCTCTTTATTCGCAAACTTTAAGAGGTATGATTTGCAATTTAACATCAGTTAGATATGCACTAGTGAGAAGACAGTAGCTATTAAAATTTTAAAATCAAAATACATTGATTGTTTAAACCCATCCTAAATGAATCTTATCTTAAATTGATGTGGGGTTTTTTTTTTTTAGCCTTATAATGAAAATGTTGGATTAATTGCAAGATATGTTTTAAAAAATGTTTAAAACATTGGAATTTACAATTCTCAACCTTCAAATTATTTAAACAATGATCGAAAAAAAATGTTTTTTTCAGCAAAAGTATCAACGATTAACTGCAGGTTAGACGAATTAGAAGAAATGTATTCTCTGACTTGTACAACTCAAAGTGTTTAGCCACCTGTTCAATGTACAGTTCTGTATGCTTCCAATCAGTTAATAAATATTATGGTTATTATATTGACGTTGTGTTTACAATTTATCCTTGAAGGGGAATTAAAAAAAAAAAAGAAGTGATTATTGATCTAATTTATTAATTTTTTTAGAATAATCATGTTCCTATTATAACTTTAAACATTGGTGAGGACTAAACTAAATTTGGAAAACTAAATGATATGTAAAAAACATTGAATAAAATGTTGCGTTTTTTTCTCTATTTCTTTCTGTTTTTGTTTTAAGATCATATGTTGTTCGTTCGTCCGTCGAAGTCGACAAGGACCATCGAATCATCCGGTTAGGGGCGGGCGGGGGGTTGGGATTATGGTGAGCTTCTAGGTGGCTTGTTAGACCGATCCTTGCTCGGAATAATCTATGACACCATGGGCATGGAATAGTTGCTTCAGACGATGACCTAATGTTGCTCTTTCGGACAGGCCTGAGTGTCTCAGCTGTGGTTATTCTCTTAGCTTCATTGGATTTAGCCCCCTTCTTTACAGCAGCTCTCCATCTGGCTCTGTCCTGGGCTGTCTAAACCCATTGAGTAGGGTTTATGCTGAAGGCCTTTAGTGCCACTTTCAGTGAGTCTTTGTAACGCTTTCTTTGGCCTCCTTGGGAGCGCTAGCCTATCGTGAGTTCTCCGAAGAATAATTGTTTCGTGAGCCGGTGGTCTGCCATACGGGCTACGTGTCCCATCCAACGGAGCTGAGACTGCATCAGAGTGGTGAAGATACTAGGTAGGTTCGTTCTAGCGAGGACCTCGGTGTCGGGGACTTTGTCTTGCCACCTGATGTCGAGGAGTTTCCTGAGGCAGGTAGTGTGAAAATGATTAAGTTTCTGGGCGTGACGCTGGTAGACAGTCCACGTTTCACATCTATAAAGCAGTGTCGGGAGGACTGCTGCGCTATAGACCCTGAGCTTTGTTTCTCGACTGATACCTCTCCTGTCCCAAACAGTGCTGCGGAGCCTGCCAAATAGGGCACTAGCTTTTGCGAGTCTGCCATTCATTTCATCATCCATGACGACAGATCTAGAGAGGGTGCTGCCCAAGTAAGTAAATTTATCCACCGGGTTGAGACGCTTTCCACTGATGATGATGTTGGGTTCAACGTAGGGCTTACTGGGAGCTGGCTGATACATCACCTCAGTCTTCTTTGTGTTGATTGTGAGGCCAAAGTTATTGCAGGCCTCAGAGAAGATATCAACGCTGTGTTGCATGACGGCTTCTGATGGAGCATTAAGGGCACAATCGTCTACAAACAGAAGCTCGTTGATCGTGGTATGTTTGACCTTGGTTTTAGCTTGAAGCCTCCTAAGGTTAAATCCTGATCCATCAGTACGAAACCGGATTGGCAAGCCCATGGTGGAGTCCTTGAACGAATCAGACAATATTGCGGAATACATAATACTGAAGAGTGTGGGAGCAAGAACACAACCCTGTTTTACACCGTTTGTGACGGGGAATGCTGGAGATGATTGACCTTTGTCCTGCACTTGGGCCATCATACCATCATGCAGGTGACGGATGATGTTTGTGAACTTGTCTGGGCATCCGTATTTCTTCACGATTTTCCACAAGTAAGCTCTATTGACCCTGTCAAAGGCCTTATTCAAGTCGATAAATGTAGTATATAGGTCTGTATATTGTTCCTGGCAATTCTGTTGAAGCTGTCTAGCAGCAAACACCATATCGATGGTGCCGCGTTTTTTGCGGAAACCACATTGACTTTCGGGTAGGAGACCTAGCTCCAGATGTGCATTCAGGCGGTTCAGAAGGGCTTGGGCCAAGATCTTGCCTGTAATAGACAGTAGTGAAATTCCACGGTGATTGTCGCATGTCTGGTGGTTACCTTTCTGTTTGTACAGGTGGATAATTGAGGCATCCTTGAGGTCTTGTGGTACAGTTTCCGTCTGCCAGATGATTTGGAATAAGCCCAATAGCTTATCCGTCAGCGCTGGTCCATCTCCTTGTAGATTTAGGCAGGAATCATGTCGGGGCCAGGTACTTTGCCATTGGACATTTGGCGGATCGCTGTCTATATCTCATCAAAAGTTGGGACGGCGTCCAGTGAATTGTTCGTTGGGACCTGGGGGAGTCTTTCAATGGCCTTATCATTAATGATGGAAGGTGTATTGAGCACACTTTCAAAGTGTTCCGCCCATTTTCCCAAGATTTTCTCTTTGTCTGTAATGAGCGTAGAACCATCAGCACAAAGGAGAGGGGAATAGCCTGAGGTGGAGACACCATAGTTTATTCTCAGGCCACGGTAGAAATTTGTCATGTCTTTCTTGTCTGCAAAGCCCTGTATTTCATCAGCTTTTGAATTCAACCAGGAATCTTGCATCTGGCGCAGTTGTATTTGGACCTTGCTGCGGATGCCCATAAGTGCACCTGTCTTTTCTGTTGACGTTGGGTCATCATGGAGGGCCTTGTACGCTCGGCATTTTTGCTCAAGAAGAATTTGGATAGCTGTGTTGTTTTCGTCAAACCAGTCCCTGTGTTGTAGACCATCTCACGAATCGTGGTCCACACTTTTTCCGCGTCCTGGTTCTCCAGTGTGATTGTATCAAAGCGGTGATCTAGGCTGTCAACAAAAGTTTGTCTCACATCAGGGATATTCAGCTTATTTATGTTGAAGCGTTTCGGAACTTTCGTGGCCTGAGGTCGTCTCTTAGGTTGGATATGAATTTTCATCTTTGAGACGATGAGGCGGTGATCCGTCCAGCATTCTGCGCCACACATGGCCTTAGTAACCCTCACGTCCTGGTGGTCCCTATTTCTGACTATGGTATATTCAATTAGGTGCCAGTGTTTAGAACGGGGGTGCATCCAGGAGGTCTGGTTGCGCGTTGGTGTCACAAATGACTGGGGCGGGGGTACAGGACAGAGCTCCATTATTGTTTAGGTAACTTATAGGATGGAAGGAAACTGCTGTTAATGGGGTTAAGTTAAGGTTAATAGACTCTCACATCTTGATATAGTGGGGGATTGTTTCTTTGGATAATAGTATGTTCGGGTTTTCCAGACTTCGCATGATAATTTCTGGGTTAACAATGGGAAGGTCTAATTGACCGGAAATTAGAGGGCATGGGTGTGTTTATAGATAGCATTCCTGGACCACCTATGGGGGGTAGAGAACCACATATAAGAGGGAGCTTTCACTGAGTTAGGTTAGTTGAGGGAGAGTGAACAGAGGTACGACGAGTTGAGGAAGAGGGAAAGGAGCGACAGTAGTTAGTTGAGGAAGATAGAGAAGAACTACGGATTAGTTGAGGAAGAGAGAGAAAAGAGCTACGATAGAACTGAGCAGTTGTTAGGGAATACTTGCTAGAGACCAGAAGACGACAGATGACTGGAAAAACGTATATCTTACCAATAAACACTTTCATTATCGTTGGACACCAGAAGTTTTGAGTTG